TCTGTAGATGGAGAAATTTATGGTACTGAAAATTGCACCATGACCTAAGGTAGTGGCTCTGCTCCACGGGCATATCTGATTATTGGACAGCACCAATGTTCCACAAATAGCTCCTTGCAGAAATGCCATTCTCGTTCACTGCTCGGCTCCACACAGGGCACCGGGGAGACCAAAGCAGTCTCAGAGGGCACCTCCCTGGTGCTGATGTTTAACTGAGGGCACAGAGCTACAAGGTACACTGGTGAAGTGGCAACACGAGAAGGAAACTACCCCATGGCATTCCCAGCCCTTCCCCATGGCAGAGAGCCTCACCCTTTGGTTGTTCTGGTAGCAGGGAACAAGCACACTTCTGCAGCACTCTATCCAAGACTCATAGAGCTAAAGCAGTGGTACTACAAAGTCCCTGCCACTGCCACCTTCCTCATCCCTGGAGCAAATGATCTTTCCTCTCTTTCCTGCAGCAAGGAGATTTTTGTTTAGGGAGCTGCTGAATGCTAAAAATACTGGGGACAAGACAATGAAAAACAGAGAGAAAAGAAGCAACTACCAATTGATGGGGGAGGTTAGCCAGCTTCCACATGACAGCAAAGGAAGTAGAGATGAGTATGGTAGAGAGAGGTGGAGAGTCTGGGGGCATCTGATCTTGGAAATACTGTGACTGGCACTTACGTGGGGCATGATGCTCAGATAGTGCTGTAAGGACAGATTCTTTCACAGGCTTAGGAGTATCTAGAATTTTTATTGTTAGAATCCTGGCAGCACATCTCCCCAATAAAGTGAGATAACTGCGCATCAGGGAGGAAAGGTGTTGTAACCAATGACAAGATCAGAGCACAAGATAGGAGTGGGTGTAGCTGAAGTGTGATGATTCGTTCCCAAACCACAAGAGACTCTAATTTCAATGATATATTTCTAGCCAAACCATACACCACAGTTTAACAAGCAACAGAAGCCCCTAGGCTGTCACAGCATGTGTGACAATATTCTACTATTTGTCATATTTCAATTTCATATTAATCTTGATACGTTTTCACAGAACCTCCCTCATAACTCAAAGGTAAATCCTAGAATGAAGGGAGAAGGATCACACTGCCTGAGTGCTGCTCAGAAGCAGTAAGGTTCGTGCCATGAATTGTAGTAAAGTACATTGTGTATCTATTCCCAACATGGGAAGAGAATTAAAACAAAAGGGCAGTGTTTTGTACAAAACCTGTGAAGTTCTTGCTCCCTCACAGGAAAAGTTACGTCTGTATATTGAAGCCTATTTGTGATCACTGCAGTATATTTAATGTCACTCAACATTCACACACAGTAGTCTTTTGCATGTTCAAAATCCTGTGCAGACATGACTTGATAAATCCTCAGAACTCTCTGGCAAAATGTGCTATTTTCAAGTGCTTGCTCATTTCAGAGTCCAGTGAAGAATAAGCACTATGTCTGAATAAAAGATTATGGCAGTGTTTTCACTTGCCAGAATGATTCAGGGATATGCACAGGAGGCTGTGAAGCATGCTCAGTTGTGGGGGTTTAAGTGGCAAGAACACAGTAGCTAATTGAAAGCAGCTTTAACTCTTCATGAGCTGCTTCAAACCAGTGCCAGTGTTTGCTAGTCCTGTCCAGATGTAAGAATGTGTTTTCATTCTTTATGTAATCAAAAGAAAGTAACCAGAATTCACAAACAGGAAAACATGAGAAAGTCTGCTTATCAGAAGCTGTCACCAGAGCATCACATTGAAAAAAGGCTCTACATGTAAGATGAAAACTCCACAACCTATATGAAGAAAATAGTGAAAGTAAAAAACCCTAAACAAACAACCCCCCCCCTCGCTCCTACTAAATCCCAGGGTTTTTCAGAGGTGCTGAGCATTTGCAGCCTACAGATGAGGTCAGAATTTAGATGTCCAGCATTCCCAAAACCACCCCAAAGACACCTCATGCTGGGCATACACAATTAAGGACTCTGCATCGGCGGCCATATTTAAAAAATAAGCCCAAGTCTGTCTTAACAAATGAATCTTTACTGCTCTTCAAACTTTATCAAAGTGGATTAGTTTGATTTATAACTGGATTAAATCCCACTGAAAATGATTGATCTGAAACAATGACCTTTCACTGTAGAACATAACATGAAATACTTCAGGGATAAGATTAATGAAGTGCAGAGATAAAACAAAATGCCTTTGCCAACATTTTCAAAAGTGGCCTCTTATTCTGGGTGCCCTACTTGAGTCACTGCATAAGTGCTCATTTCCTCTGAAAATGAGGCCCTAAGCAAGTTGAGCCAGGCATCCAGAACAAGAGACTGCCTGAAAATACCAGCCTTGAAGCTGTATCTCCTAACACTTGTCCTGCCTGGGCCTCACAATGCACGCATTCGGTAACTGTGATAGCTAGCAGAACCGTCAGTGGGACTGAAAGCAGGGAAAGCTGCTTCTCGAGTCATTAATCCTCTCCAGTACTGGAGTGGATTACTTCAGAGAAGTTTTTCACCAGCAGCTGCCATGCAGGTTCTTCATACAGCCATTTCTACTACACACTTCTAGCCTAGAACTACTGGTAGGCAACAGCTCAGTCTCTGACCTTGCCAGTCTTTGGCCTGTCAAACTGTCAGGAGTCAAACTGCCTCTAGCAGCAGTGCTGGAAAAGATGGCTGCCTGCCTACTGGGACGGTGTCCTTCTCACCTCACAGACAATTAAGTAACAGAACTTCTGAAAGGGCTCCTAGATTTCCATCCCCCTTCTATGATCAATTAACACATCTAAGTACTGGGGTTTGGGCCCTTATATGCATTTTAAGATAAAAATGGCTTTGTTTTTTCTATGTAGGGCAAGCTCCTTCCTTTGATAGGCCATGTCATGTTGAGGAGGAGGATGAATGACAACAGCAGGTACAGCACATGCAGCTCAGGGCAGGTCAGCCACACACTCAGAGTGCTTCTAACTACCGCTCCAAGAAAAACAACATAAACACATCCGGAGCTTACTACATATGGTAGGGTAAGGAAACCAGAACATGACTGGGATGCAAACCATACCTAGGAAATGAGAACAAGGTAAGACACAAACTGAACAATTCAAATGCTAGCCCAATGTGAGTACAATATAAAGAACTCCTCTACACTGTTCTTCAAAGACTAACTCCACCCAGCAGCACAGGCAGAGACAGCCAAATGCTAAGCGTCACTGGCATTCGGCAGAGGTTCACTTGACTTCTTCCTCTACCACACAGCTACGCATCCCATCTGCTGTAGCTCACAGATGGGGAAGCAACCGTGTACCTCTGAACCCTGCTCAGCTACTGGTAACTGAGCCTGGTCAAGTCCTGTGAGATTATCTGTAGGCACAGCTGGCAAATTCTTCTCCAGATGTAATTAGCTCCTCAGAAGTGTTTTGCACAGATTCAATACCCAGGTGGCACAGGGCAGAAGTGCTAGTGGGCCACAATATACTGTACTTCAGCCATTTAACTTCACATATTTTAAAAATAAATACTTTTAATTTGCTGAATTTCACATATCAAGCTTTGAATCATCTAACATAAATTTCCAGAAAAGTAGTAAGTTATTTCATCTGGGAAATGACCTAGAAAATTCAATTGTCCTTCAGAGAACTACTATGCCAAATTTGGAAATTAAATTCATCAAGTGATGTGTAAGAGAAAAAGCTTTAATTCAGCTTTAGCTGAAAAGCTTTTTTCCTGTTTAAGTTTGGAAGAGACTTGTCATTCTAGCACTCCTTAGGAATTCTGGTGAATCGAGCCTCTTCTTTTTGATTAAAAATTCAAAACAACTGTGTTCTTGAACTATTAAAAAAAAAAAACAAAACAACTTAGCCTTAGAACACTGGTATAGTTAAGACAGTAGGAAAAGGACAGTTATCTCCACAACCATAGTATCTGCATTTCCTAGCATGGGCCGTTTTCTTAGAAAATAATCTATTTAATTGCAAATGACAGGTACCTAAAATTTTTATACAGGTGGAGTGCTGTTAATCTAATCTTTATCATCTTCCCTGGCAGGGGACAGCACTAAATATTTGAAAGGAACTGAAATATGCCTCACAGTAAAAGAGGCATCATTTCTCTTTACTCCAATACATCAATCTTCAACACCAGGGAAATGTAACCACTCTGGCTTTCATCCACATGTATTACATACCATTGACTAGCTAAATCATAGTAATCGTAGTGACATGACATATCATTAGGGGTAAGAATTCAAGTACCTTATTCGGGATCTCATAACAAAAATCTACCAAGATCAGGTGTGAATTTTCCTATTGGGCTGCTGCTTCTGCACGAACGCCGTTTCACCGGCTGACGCACCGCAGTGCCTCGTTTTCCTTCCCCCGCAGAGCCGCAGCGCTCGCCCACCGCAGGGCAAACGCCTAGCGAAGGGATTTCACGCAGGGCGGCCGGGGCGGCGGTGCCCCCGCCGACGGCCGGCAGCAGCGGTGCCGGGGGCCGGCTGCCGCGCCCCCGGGGCTCCTCTATCCCCCCTCAGCTGAGGCGGCTGCACTCGCGGCCCCTCCCCACCCCGCGCGGGCCACCAACGGTCGCCGCGCGCCCGCGCCGCTGTTGCTATGGCTCGGGCGGGAGGCGGCAGCCAATCAGAGCGCGGCAGGGTATATTTGTCGCTGTTGCTAGCGGGAGGGCGGACCAATGGGGAGGAAGCAGGCCCCGGCGGCGCGCGGCGGCGGGGCCCTCACGAGATGCTGGGCCGCCCGCCGCCCTTCCTCCCCGCGTAACCGGCTGGAATTCACCCGACGCCCCGGTCCTGAGGCAAATTAACGTAAACGTGCGCACAGCCCCGCCACGCGCCCCTGTTTGGAACACAGAATCTCCAACAAGAAAAGGGCATTCCAAGGGAGATCCACCAAAATAAAGGAAGCATCAGGGTCTCAACATGCACAAGTATACCCAAGGGCAGCCGGTGCTGGGGTTTTAATACCGTGTGTTAATTATCACTTCACACCCTTAACCTTAGAAAATAAACACTGGAGAAAGAGTAATTCATAACCTTTATTTGCTAACTTCATTACAAAATGTACTGGAGGCACCAAACTTCTGTATCTCTGGGTTGGAGTTTTGGCGAAGCCCCTTTTGCAATACAGATTTATAAAATATCAGTAATACTTACGGAAAATACCGAAAAGACTGCCCAGCGACTTGCAACATTAGTTTTAAACCTGCACCAAGGGTCTGGCTTTGCTAGTTAATGTCCTAACACTCGGGTACACAATTCTGCTTTTTATACTCCAAGGGAAAGAAACAAAACTGGGCTCTTGATTCGTGAACAGCGTGAGATGGAGTGTAGCAGAGGGCCTTGAGGCTGGGTTAAGTAAGAAAAGTACTGGGCAAAGGGAACAGTTGCACACGCTCCCCAGGAGAGCTGCAGTGAAACAGCTTACCCCTGTGGAGCAAGCAGCCTTCAGCCAAATACAGTATTAGCTCCACACTTACTACAGGGTGTAGGAAAGAGTCTGCACCAATCGTGCTGCCTTGCAGGGCACTCGTCTGAATAGGATGTGCTCAACTGCAGCAAACCACCTGAAGGGTGACAGAATTGCCTTGGCAGTTTCAGTCTATCCAGATCTGGGGACTGAAAATGGCTCAAGAGGGTTCAGCAGCTCCCACTTCCTCCATTCATCCTTTTTTTCTAACCAATCTGAGTTGCAGGTAGTATTAAATACCAACAACACTGCCCTCCCCCAGTCCTGCAAGAACACTGACTTTAGCACTAAAAATTCTGCCATGCTCCAGTCTGTGTCATCTGTGGCACTATGGAGTGTGGAACACTGGAATTTACACCCAGCAGTACAACGGAAATACATAAATGAGAAATAGCAGTATTTTACTAGCACTTAGCTGAGACCTTATTTTTCAAGCCTGAGAAAAAGTTATTCAATATCTTCTGATAAGCAGTGTAACTAAATTCTACTCTTTTTGAGTCCAGGAGCTTCATTTACCTTTATGATGTAAGTGAAGGACTCAGATCTGACCAGTGCTGTGGGTAGAAATATGTAACTGCCACAGAACCTGTGACTTGGTATTTTTAGCATCTACAGTGCAGCTTCAGACTGCTCCAGTAAAAACCTGCAATCCAAAATGCACCTTTGGTTTTGTCTATCCTTTGCAAAATTCTTAATAAAACTGTAACTATACCAAACTTTGCAACCATTAGAAAAACACTTCATCATTCCACCTCACTCTCTCTGCTCATCTCCATGTCAAACCCCTCATTCATTTAAAAAAAAAAAATCCAGGAAAGGATTGGGTGTTTCCTGGGGAAGTGCAGACCACATTGAGCATCTCTGCAGGCAGGTCACATTCGTCCCCCAGCTGAGAATTCAAAGAGCAGCCATGCTCCCCAGAACGTGTCATTGGTTAACAGGTCACCAACTGGATCCTCCAGGACCTGAAAGACACAGGAAGGAGTCAAAGCTTCACCACATACGATCTTTAATGTTGCTGTTGCTCATGGTGGATGAGCTCCTCCGGGCAGACGTGCAGTAGCACAAGACTGTGTGGTGGGAGGGAATGTCAGTGGTGAGGGCTGTGTGCATGAAGAGACAAAGTCCTTGTTCCCCTCTTAAGTTCGGGAGATGGCTGTAAAAATGACAAGCACAGTCAGTGCACAATTCAACTCTTAGTAATTCAGAGAAGAGCAATTCCCTTCCCTTTGCCCAAGGCATTGGCTTGTCTAAAAGCTAGTAAATGACAAGAGGGTAAGACCAGAATGAAATGGTTAAGAAGGGAGTGATCACCTGAACAACGGAGCTCTATTCAGGGAGGGGAAAAAAAAGTCTCCAAAATTAATTTACTTGTTTTCATTTGTTTGCTTGTTTTGTTTACTCTCATTTTGACTCTGATGGAATGCATAGCCTATGAAAAGCAAATTGAAAGTCATGTGTGGACAAAATGAAGTTTATATCTGCACCCCTGTGGTTCAGACATAGGAACATCTGCATATTCCTGCAACAAGCCCAGGGCAAGTAGATTCAGCAAGAAAGAGAGTGGTATCCAGGAAGGCTGTAGAATGCTGTAAAATCAGTTACCCATTCAAGCCCTTCCTTTTCCTACAGCACACAAAAATGTGCAAAAATTGCCTTTCTGAATCCCTGATCTGAGTAATTATTACAAAGATTTGAAGATGTCCCCATTTTGACATCTGCAGGCATCACACAGTACCTTGCTCCCCACCCCACATTGCACTGAGTGTCATGTTTCTGTACCACTGCAAAAATCAGTGCAAGAATGCAAAATAGCAAGATGAAAACTCTAGCTACAGAGACTGCATGCTCTGGAAATCTTAAAAAAGGCTCATTCATTATTAATGCCCAAAGCTTTCCTACTCATCTGGCTCACATTATTGCTGGTAAAAAGGCCACTTTCCAAGATACAGATCTTTATATTGATGCTTTCAAAGGCTCAAAAGAGGTTCTGTTACTGCCCTCAGAGCTGCAGCCGCTTCCTATAATGAGGCCAGCAGATATGGCCTCCTGCTTTTCAAAATCTCTTTTAAAAAGGTTTTCTCCAGCAGCTTACACTGCAAGAGAAACAGAAATGGATGCTAACTGATTGGTAGACCCAACATATTTGAAGCCAAAAAATAGCTCAAGGTACAGTTTAGATAGGGCTTTCTTGGGTCCTATTTTTAGGTAACATTTAATTCAGAAATGTGCTCCCATCCCCTTGAAAGCACCAGATTACTAACTTCTATCCTCTGCTGTCTTAAAATCACCATAAGAAGGCATGCAGATCGTGGAAGTAACTTTTTTTATCATGTCCTGTAATAATACCACTCTGTACACTGCTATCAGCCATCTTGGAACAGTGTAAAATGCCTTTTACTCAGCAATAACAGAGACTTGGAAATTAAAATTACATGAAAGATTTTAAGAGGTCTGAGAGAGCAGTCAAATTCTGCAGAGTCCCTCAGAGAAGACCCTCAAGCAGCCATCTTCCTGTCATCTTTCCACAGTGCTAGGTGAGCCCTCCATTGTTCAACAGTTAAATGACACTTTTGGTCTGCACAGGTTTCTTTGGCCATCATTTCAATGACACATATAGTAAAATCAGGGTCTGATAAGCAATCCAAGTGGAAAAAACAACAAAAACACCTCTCCTTCTAGCATCTGCTGGATGCTACCCAGGGAATACCCAACTTGCTCTGAACTTGATTCCAAAAGGTATGCTTACATCAAACATGTTTCATACTAAATACAACGTGAGATTTCACATCTCCTGTGTGGCTGGATAGTGTTTATAGGGCTAAGCTCTTTTCTCTGAACATCAGGTATGCTCTCTTACCTGGCTTTGTCCCAGGGCTTGGCTTTCTTCCATGCAAGGTGCAGAAACAGGTGGGCACTGAGGTTTGCCAAACATAGTCTGACAGGAACTAGAAGAAAATATGATATACAAATGCATTTGTATTTATGCTGTACTCACTACTTACCTTTTTCTTTTTTTTTTTTTTTTTTTTTTCCCCCAGCAGCAGGACAAGAGGGGCTGCTGGCAAGACCACCATTCAAGAGAGTTCTGTTGTCTACAAACCTGCCCTATTTCTCCAGATTGTTATGGCCTGAAAACACGGATTCTGCACTGGGAGGATCAGCCTGACCAGAAGCAGTTTACAGGAATGACATCTTGATTTATAACTCTCCATATGACCCCAGAACACTCTCCATAAACAAGGAGCTGTCTCTCTCCTGGAACTTATTTTAAAAACACAGATCTTCAGAGTCAAAACAGATAAACATGTGGCTTTAGACATAGCCATAACATTGGCTAAGATTCTACTATAGCTTTTCAAGGCCACCAGTCTGGAGGCATGGCTTCCCCATCCCTTGGGGGCTCTGCCAGCCTCTCGAAAGAGGTCACAGTCTGCAGGCATTGGGTCAAGTAGGAGACACTGGGTCCTAGATGATGGGATGTTCTCTCCCTTCATCACCAAGTATGTATACTCCAACAACACTGCCCATACCACCCCTTGGAATAGCCCAGGAATGGCCATACAGGCCCAGACCACAGGTGCCAACTAATAGAGCATAGGAAAAAAAGTAGAAGAAAGAGGGAAAGTGTCAAGTTGTCCTTCCTTGGAATGCCCCCTATGTTCCAGCAATCAGTCTTGGGACTCCTCTGTTGGAGGCTGCAGTCAGGCAATTACATGTACTAATGACAAATGGACTCAGCCCCCTGCCCCCTCCAAGAATTTGTCTCATCCTTTTTCATAGCCCACTTACACTAACATGGACAATGCCCTTAGCAACAAATTCTGCAATCTAATTATGCAATATGTCAAAAAGTAGCCCTTTTGTGTGTTTTGAACTTGCTGCCTGCCAGTGTCAAGGTGCTGGGTTACTCAGAGGGGAGAGCCTAACAGCAGGAGGATTCCTAGCACTTGGAGCTGGAATCCAAAAAATGCAGGCAGAAGCAGTAAGCTGCAACAAACATCTCAGCCCTGATGTTTTCTAAATCAATATGCTGGCACATAAACGCAGTCTGTCTTCTTGCTCCATAGAGTTCAGTGTGCTTTTCTGTTTGAAATGGGAGGCATGACTGTGTTATATTCTGCATGAACCATTAGCTGGGCCGCGTTCCACCTGTCCTAACTCAAGGAGTGAAGAGGATACAACACCACTATCAGTAAAGGCGAGCATCTGTTTGGTGTCCCACAGGGACTTCCAGTTCGCTAGCTGAATCAAACTCTACTGTCAGGCAGCAGGAGCAGATGGAGACAGTCAGCTTCCAGCCTGGTTCCCCCTCACACTCCCACCTCACAGCCCTGCAGATCATAAGAGGTTTGGATACAGCCCAAGTGTGTAGGACCGGCTGTAAAAAGCCCATGAAAGAAATCAACAGGAATTGTTCTGAGCTTTCAGGCCAAGTGCTTTCTAGGTGAGCACCTTTAAAAATAAGACAAGCAGATTAAGGGTCCTTTGGCTGACTTGTAGCTCTACCCCTGCACTTACAAGGCAGGGAGCCACATGTGCTGGCAAGGCAGTGAGAGCATAACACCAAGTCCGCACCAGGTGGGTGACCTTGGCTAAACAGTTTCCTTCTCTCTGCTTTACTCTCATTTGTAAAGCAGGGCTAACTTCACTGCCCTGTCTTTCCAGGACAGCAACACTCATTTGCCTTACAGTTTAAGCTGTTGACTCCTTCCTGAGTCCCCAGGAGAGATGATCATTGCAACACTATTGCTAAAGATCACTCTGGTGACACAATACTTCTCTCTATTCCAATAACTCTGTTAGTGGGCTCAGTCTGATAACAAGGTGATCCTCATTCATTGCCGTTCACTGAGCAGTGATCTTACCCAAGACCACCCACACAAGGTCTCCTGGCTCTCTAGAGAGAAACTGCAGAAGAGCCTAGATGAAATTACAGCTTAAGCATCGCTCATTTCTAAAGAGATCGATGTTCCATAGCATTCATGATATTTTGGGCAGTTCAGGGTTTTGGGGGGAGCTGGACCAGGCCACTAAACAGGGTCTACGAATAGAGTTCAAATAACTATATCCTCACCAGAACATGTCAACGAAGCAGCAAGTTCTGCCCCTGCCAGGAATACGATAAAGGGTGTGTGGATTCCTGGCACAACTGACATACCCAACAAGGAGACATTCACCATAGATTTCTTCTACTGGTGGAACATATTTTAAAAATAAACATGAGCTCACTCTAGAGTCAGAACTTGCAATTTTAAATCCAGCCAAAATATTGCCAACAAGCCTCACTGATCTTCCATGACCTTTAGCCACTGTTTAAAACTGTGAATCCTAAAACACAGCCTGAGGTGGCTTTATAACGCCCAGACCTGGGTTCTTCCCAGCAATTCAGGGGGAGGCGTTTGACAGGAATGTGAACATCTGTAGGCACCAAGCCAACTGGGAAACAGGGGTAAATGGCAGAAAACTGGGAGCAGGAAACTGGGAGGCAAAAGCCCACTGACCTTTATCTCCAATCACTGCCTTCCTGTGTTGCTTGACAAGCCACAAAGCCTCTCCGTGCCTCCAATTCCTCATCTATGAAGTGGGAATAAAACTGCTTCTACATCCCTCTTTGACATATTATTGACAGTGTCACGCTAGCACAAGTGCTGGACAGTGTCAAGCAGAAGAGTTATGAAATGGGGCTACTGCTCCTGCTGTCTTGCAGATCATTAAATTAAATGAACCTTGTAATGTCTGTTTAGCAGTGTTTATTTTTATCTAACATTATGGAAGTTGTATAACATATGGAAGATGGCACAGATTTTTGTTGTTTTGCATTCTGTGAATTCATCTCAAGTCCGAGAGAAAACCTCCAGCCTGAAACATTTGTTAGAGGTGGAAAACAGAAAGACAGAATGGTGCCTGTCTTTGTCTTCCAATTTGGAAAGCTTGTGCTATGGAATAATCTTGTCATGAGGTTATGAAGCTACAAAAACTATTTTAGGATTAATTATGGGCCCTACCTAGCCCACAGAATCAGTTCTCACTGGATCAGTATAGGTTATGAATTTCTGCCAAAAACAAAGACAGGCAAATAGCTTAGAAGCTCAACCTGCCTTAAAGAGAGAGGTTCCTATCTTTTCTGGTGGGGCTGGTCTCAAATCTCCTTTTTGCCACCACCATAAAATACATATACACTTATACAGTATTTCCCATTTCCAGTGCACAGATATAAACATCTGCAAAACAGGATGGACACAAGGAGAATCAGGCCCCTGCAGTGAAATGCAGCACTACACTCTTTCTGCAACCCTCTTCAACAAGAGGATAAGGACAAGGCTACACCCACAGCACCATTGTTACTCCTGCCTTTAAGAAGCCCTGTGCTTTCCACTCCTTTTACCTGTGGGGAAGAATAGACTCCAGGGTCCCTAGCTGTCCTTCTCTAAGGATGAAGCTTTCAACCTCTAAATCTGACTGCTGAATGATTCTTCCTGAACTGTCCTCAATACAGCCACCGTGAGGGACTCTGCTCAAGGGAGCTCTGATACCTGCTGAAATAAATGTTCATATTAAAGAAAAGTAGAGGTAACATGACCCCAACCTCTGACCCAGCTATTCCTCCCCACTCCACATTCACCAGAGGCTGGGTGAATGGCAGTCACAGCATTTTCTGTTCTGTACACCTGCAGCAAAAGCAGATGGACATCACTTGCATATCCTATCAAGGCTATTCTGAAGAACAGGGAGAAGAAAAGAGACGGGGCGGAAGGAGAGAGGGAGAGAAAGAATAGCAGTAAAGGAGAAAGGGAAATGAGAATGTGTTGCTGAAGATGAGCACCATGTCACAGTTAAGTTTCCAGCCTCTGCTCAGACAATCTTTTAAGAATGACAGGCATTCAAAAACCCAGAAGCTTGCAAACTGACAAGGTCAGCCAATGCCCCAAGGGACTCTTCCAATGGAAATGCTAAAAGGACTCCACCTTGCTGGAGAAGTACCATCTTATGGAAGCAGTTACAGTTTAAGCAAAAGAGTAGGTAAGAATGTCTGTTTCAACACCTTAAATCCACAGGTTTTCTCACTGAGCTACTATGGGAGCAGAACTCCAGAGCTCAAGATAAGCCCTGCTCCCATTTGTCAGGCCACTAGAAAGCCACCTAAGTGAGCAAGAGTGTTTACAACAAAGGGAAAAGAAACTTGAAAACTCTTAAGGTCAACAATCTGGGTGCAGTTTTACTAACCTTCCATACTTGGGGTCCACAAGGAGCCAGAGACTCCTCTGGTGCTGCAAGGGGCCTGCCACATGGCCAGCTGTTCATCTGGAAAGGTAAAGGACCCACAAGAGCACAGGACAAAGTTATCCTGACAGGGACCGGCACCAGTACAGCTTCCTACTGCTCTGGGTTGCAGGAGAGCAGAGTTAAGGCAGGTTCCTGGTTCCAACATAGCCTCAGTGCAAAAAGCTACGGGTTGGTCAGTGTTGCGAGTGGTCAACAAAGCCCTGCTTGTCCTTGCGTCATACAGATCACTGCTCTGCGTGAAGCTGTAATGATGGAAAAAATAAATCAGCCAGACATACTGCTTTGCAAAGAGGCAGGACTCCCCAGCTAAACCTTTGAATCCTGCCCTTGACAGCTGGGAGATTAACTGCTAGATGTTCTGACTGCCTGATGCTGGGCATGGACCATTCCCATCTATGGAGTCAAGATTCTTAAGTGATGTCCCCTGGGAACTGACATAAAAGTCATTTCCATGAATAAGTTTAAAGGTTGCTTCATCTGTGAACTGTCACTGTAAAGACTTTCTCATACATCACCTGGATTCCAGCATCTTTAAATATGTTCCTTCAGGAGGCTTATCCAGATCTGCAGCTGACTGCTCCCACCCTGGGTCACAGGGCATGAGGGTTATCTCCGTTTGCTCAGAGCCGATGCCTACACAAGATCCATCTGAAAGGTGCAGGCCGGGCAGATGAAGGAACACTAATACTTACTCCAGAAAGTAATGAAACAAGTCTAATTTGCCAAATGCAGCAAGACCCTCTTACTCCCCTTGACTGCAGTTTGGCCAAGATTCTGTGAAGGGGAATGGAAATACCAGGTTTTACCAGAGAACTGCCCTGATCCCAGAATCTGAGAGCTAAAACACGCTGTCTCCCATGTATTTGCTTTCATTCGGTGCCCCTTCTGAGATGGGCATCTCTTTTTCACCTGTCCTTACACAGGCCTTATCAATGTTTGCTCCTGTGGAGTAACAGCCTCTAGCCAAACAATGAGGCACTCCACTGAAGTAGAGTCCTCCAAAGTCCACTTGATCTATCAGCATATTGATGCTGTTCTGGAGAAGGAATATCCTTCTCTACCTGAGGGAATTTAAAATTGGTTTTCAGCTTTTTGGACCCCATCCTAAGCCCATTAGGAAGAGACAAACCTGCATTTTGTGGAGTGTAGGATCCTTTATCTCGCTGCTCCATTGTGTGGTAAGCCAAAGCCCTCTCAGGACATGAGCTGTTGAGCTTTTCCGTACGAGGGAGGCAGGATTTTTGACGTCGTCGATAATTTGCAAACCAGTTATAGACCTGAGTTGGCTGCAGGTTCATGTCCTGAGCCAATCCCTCCTGCAAACCCAGGTGTAGGGAGAGATCAAAGGAAAAAGAATAAACCACATCCGAATAATCAGGCTTTTCCCTTCCATCCCAGAAGCAGCCCAGCAAAAGAGCTTTCAAACCCAAAGACATTTGTTCACTAGGTCTCAGATAAGTTTATGTGGATCCCATTGAGGACACAAACTTATAAACTCAAAAGAGTTGCTGAAAAATGCACATTCCACTCTGCTTCCCCAGTCAATTTATTTGCTGAAGGAAACCATATACTGCTATTTTATATTGCTATATTTAAATGTAAAACCTCACCAAAGCATGCTCTTACTGCAGAATGACAGCTTCACATCACTAACATGACACTAATAGGATAAACACTAATGCATTTACCACATTAAATATTTTTCACAAACTCTGAGCAGTATAAACATCTGTCTCACATTTACAGAAAAATTCCTGCTGTATTACACTCTTAAATAATGAGATCACATAAGTGAAGAATATACTGGGAAATTAATGCATAAGTGATCATCGTATCCTGACCTTTTAGGACCTAATTATACAACTTCATTATGCTCCCAATTCATATTGGTTTTTTTAAATGAAAATTTAAAAGTTGTTTCTGCTTTGTGAAAACGGTAAGAAATAAACCATCTCCACACTGAAGAACTATTCACCAGGCCATCATGCCTCATATGAGAAGGATGTTGGAAAAATTGAGCACTGCAGAGGCAGACTTTAAAATCTGAAGTCTTCACCTTGCAAGGTAGTAATCAACAAAGATTACTGAATTAATTCACATGTCACTTCCATAACAAATTCGTCCCTGTCCAAATAAGGTGGATACATGCATACATCAACACTGCCCATCATGTTCTCAAATTCTGTGAATTTAATGAGATAAATCAGAACAAAATATATTCTGGTAAGCAAAGTGAAATTTTATACAGGCTATAACTCAGCCAAGTCAGAACTATTTATCACTGTAGCATAGCTCTTCTGAGTGATGGTTGTTTCACTGCCTATGCTCAATCACTACAAAATTAGAACTGTTAAAAGCCCAGGGATGAATTTATTTCCCCTGATCATTTTGTCCAAAGCAAGTGAAATTACTTAGCATGAATTTGATGATTTTTTTAAGGAAACCTTTAGGGTAAGATCAAACATGGGAAATCCCAGCCCCACCGGGGCTTCTGAAAACAAGGATTTAGAATGAAACCAGTCATAGACCTCTGATTGCAGAGTTCTGCTCTTCTGTGATAAGGAGATTTGATTGGAAGCAGCATATCCCTACCCGCTGTTTCTTGTTTGGATTTGTTGTCACCTCTGCAGCAAACCTGTACAGTTGCTGCCGTACTTCATACGCATAGTTCCTATTCTTCAAACCATCAGGACAAAGGGAAGCAGGTGGAGGATTCCTGTACAGAGGGGGAAACCGAATTAAAAATGACCCAAAAGGAGTAATTCACATTGCTACAAATGACCAAAACGCCAAGAAAAACCTAGCTCCAAGCAGCAGCCATCTTGAGATGCAAAAAGAGCCTCTGCATCTCTACTCCCTGCATCTGCTAACTACAGCAGAGAAAAAAAATTCAGTTCCCCCATGCTGCAGTACCTCTTCCTGCAACGGAATTTCTGCAGTGGTGTCAGAAAATCCATGTGGTGTTTCTCCATAACCCTTCGGTAGTGAATCTCATGCCAAAGTTGCACCAGCTGCTCCTTCTCTTCTGCCTTGCAATACTAAAATAAAACAGTATGTAAGTAAAATCCTTCCCAGGTAGTCAGTCAGGCTGCCTATAAAGGAGAAAACCCTCAACAACTGGAAACTTACTCAGAGATTCCTACTGATTTGATAGAGCTGGTAGCATTATTCAAGTATATGGCTCGCTGTACCTTCTCTAATGTATACAGGTAATTGCCTAATTCCTTCTTTTCCCCTGGTGGAAGGGGTTACATTACCAGATCTAGAGGCCAAAATCCATCACTTTGAGTGGTGCCATCCAGCCTTCCTCAAATGTTCCCATTCTGGCAAGCCTGCTAAATTTGGCCTTCCTTTTTTTGTGAAAAACTTCAAGAACCACCACACTAGAGAACAAAAAACCTGCTTTTACAAACTACAACCAACACCATAATCACCCAATCACCTTCTTCCCCTTGGCTGATTAATAGTAACTGCCTGAATTGCCTGTAGCAAACACTTTATCCTGTGTTTCAGGTTAACCAACATGCGTGCCTGCCTTCCACTGCTGTATGCCTGCTGGAAACGCTCCACATGCTGCAGTTTGGCTACCTCTGCACTAACAGCTCTTAGCTACTATTTTTCTAATACTGCTTTTTGTCTCCATGAAGAAACAAAGAACACATCCCTACCTCCAGGAGTCTGCAGGCTGTGTCATGCTGCCCATTATGGATATGAACAAACACGCAAGCTCGGACAACGTGGATATTAGTGAGAAAATACATCTTGTGTTTGCATCCCATCATAGCCCCAACCAGCTTCTCTAGACTAGGAGATGAGCTCTGAAGGTCCTGGCAAAGCTGCGCTGCTAGATCCAGCAGCTTGGCAGGTGGAGGATCTTTGTTCTTATTCCTTTTTAACATGGCCATGAACCGCTTCATCCTTACGTCCTGTTGGAAGACTTTTCTATGCAATGCACAAAGTTGTGGTTAGATAAAAGTTATTATCTCCTATTTTTAGCTTCTATGGTATGTTTGTTTTTTTTTGTTGTTTTTTTTTTTTTTTTTTTTTTAGAAGGAAAGAAATTCACTGTGCTGTTAAAAGCAGCCTGAGGACCTCAAAACACTTAAAATAAAACTAGGCCTAAACCAGCCCTAAAAGGATAAAGCCACACCAGGTTTGTAGTTGAGAAAACTGAGCTCAGAAAGACATATTAAACTTGCCCCAAAACTCGGAGGCTGAAGGAAGAGGCCAAAGCCAGAGGGCTGCTGTGGGGAATCACACTGGGCTGGCCCCAGTATTTCCCCCCCTCGGTCTGTGTGTGCAGCTGGGGACACTGGGCTAAGTGCAGAGCAGCCCGCACCCCCCCCCCCCCGCCTCCAGCCCCTCTGCTCCCCTTCAAATCAGGTACCCCTTTATCTAAACCATGATATGAAGCTTTACATCCACTGCTCACAGGTTAAAACTACCAGAACGTTAAACCTAGAGATATTCAGGTGAAATTAATGAGTTTTTTTCCTTCCAAAATGGCAGGGGCCAAGCCAGGGGCAGATACAACAAAGTGTTATTCAAACGATCCTCGCGGCTGGTTTTCGCCCATTTTCCCGGGGGAAGGAGACCGGCGCGATCCCCCACCCCTGGGCCAGCCCCAGCCCCGTCGGACAAAAGAGGAAAAAGCTGTTAAAAACCTCCGAGGTTGTGGAGCAGGGACACCCCGGCAGCCCCGTCCCCTCCCCGGGGCGGCGGGAGCACCGGAGCCCGCCCCGGCCCTTTCCTCCGGCGGCGAGGCGCCGGGCCCTGCCCGCCGGGCCCCCGGGACCGGCCCCCCGCCCCCCGCCTCAGCGCAGCGCAGGACCGGCTCTGCCCCACACGGCCGCAAACCCGGTGCTGCGGCCAGCAAAAACCTCACCCGTGGCCACAGCCTCCTCCGGGGGGGGGGGTGGTGGTGGTGGTAGGGGGACGGGGGAAAGAGCTTCGCAGCGGTGAGAGCGATGCGATGCCGGTTTGCAGGTGCGGAGCCGGCCCGGGCGGGGGGGGCTGATGCAGCGCTGCCCCCGCACGCCCCACCCCGCCCCCGAGAACGGCGGCAACTGCTGCCTGCACAGCCGCTTCCCGAGGAAAATTGTGTAGAATAAACAGGCAGCAAGTTGCTTTCATAGTATAGAGTATTTTTTAAGATGTTAAGGGGGAGGAGACACGCAGTGATAGTTTTGACACACTTAGATGAACTGAATGAGGAGGCGTGCAGCTCAAACCCACCTTTTCTAGGTGAGTGCTCTCTAATAACAGGTGAGTCATCCAGACTCAGTTTAGAGGATGAAACTGAAGCAGCTGTGATATTCCTTGAATCAGGTCTGAACACCTCTGTGAATGTCAGCCCTCTGCCGACTCCAGTTTAGTGAGGCCAGAGAACAGCAGCAACGAGCTGACAGCAGGAGTCAGCAGCCGCCCCGCACAGCGCTGCAGGGTGCTGGTCCTGAGCCCACCCTGCATCCACGCCGAAATAACTTGCTCATGCCAAGTCCAGGCACCAGTCTCTGCAAAGACAAAGGCTACAAACTTGAGTGTAGGCATCTTTGTCTTGCTGCATGCAGATACATCCTAAAAATCTGCTCATAATCCTCCATATTCCTCCAATCAGCAGCATCTTCTGTTCAGCTGCCCTTGATTTCTCCTTAGGCTTGGATGTGGGCCTTGTGGGACAGGAACTGGCTTCTTGCTCCTGCTGCATGACACTGGTCTAGAGACAGAAAGTCTTGGATGCTTAAAGGTCAAAGCCCCACCACTGAACTCAGAGCATTTCATTACCATGCTGGACATAAGAAGCCGTATTTCCTTTTGGCAATTATTCTCCTTTACTCCCCATTTCTGTATTGCTGTCTGGAGTTACAACAAAACAACAGGTTACTCGATTTTCTGCATTTTTACTTATTTACACGTATGAAATTTAACAAGTGTCTCTCACATTTTATCTTACATATTCACACAATCAGGTACACCTCAAAGGGGAAAGCAGCAGGCTGCTGGCAGGCACATCAGATCCAACCGGCACCATTTCCAGTGACGGTAAGCTGCTACCACCACACTCTGTGCTCAATCTAACTGCCCTTGAAATCCATTTGCGCTCTCCCTCCTTTACCTCCGCTCTAACTGAAGTTTCAGCAATCAAGGACTGCAGCTACTTGAAACCAAGCTGAGGTCAGGTGATAGATATTGGCAAGCCAAGCGCTCAGGTTCTTTTTCCAAGGGCTTAATCAAATTCTGTTGAATATCAACAGCAATATTGATCACATCCTCTTGGAGCCTCAACATGAATCCAACACAGAGGCTCTTTTCCAGTAATCCTTCACCTCTAACTCCCTTGCCACAAGGTAAAGCTTCTAGCTGTCTCCCTAAGAGATACAACCCTATTTCATGGAGCACTAGCATGCATCTTATCTAGACAATCAGTCCAGAACAAAACAAGCCTGCTATCTTTGTTCCAGCAAAAGTCTGTAAAGTCTTTCAACAACCGATCAGCAAACTTCTCATCCCCAGTGGCACTGGACCGCCACGTTTTCGTCAGCATGGTGTTGTAGGCCCAGTTGTAGCCAATGCGCTCTTCACAAAACATGTTCTGGTTGGTGGAGCTAGTGGAGTTGCGCCGGCGTCGCTGCTGCCCACAAGAAAATTTCCGCTTGGAATACGGTAGCTGCAAAAACACTGTCCCTGGGGGAAACAGACAGGACTTTAGTCTTAGGCAGACCTAAGTCCCTACAACTGGTAATTGACTCATTAATCTCTGAAAAGGAAACTGGACTGAGTTTCATCTAACTGCCATTTCGCAAGATAAAACAGGATACACTTTTCCTCCTTTGCTTTTACATGGTACTTCTTCCTGCAAATGACAACACTGAGAAAGAGCACACTTAATCTTGCTTTTCCATTGGTGGAAGGGAATGAAGCAGAGATGTAGGCTCTGATCCACCTTTCTAACTTCACATCAATTTCTATTCTCTTCTGCAATTTTCCAAAAGCTCTCTCTCATCATTGTCTTCATGCCTCAGCAACCTCTCTGAACATACCAAGTTATTTTATTGTAATATGCCATGCATGGAGTTTGCTTAGAAGTGCTGATTGATCACTAACATTTATGAAGAATGAGAACAAGTGGATCCTAAATGCTTTATCTCCCACACAGTGTGTATGGGTAGAGACGCATCTACAACTGACCTTAAGCATGAGAACAGAGCACTGACTTGTCCCAACACCCTTTCTGCCTTCTAGCTTCTAGATACACATATATTTACACTGCACTTGGAATAAGCTCCTCTTTTTATTATTTCTCCATCTCCTGGAAAGAAAAGTTTCAGAAACACTATAAAACAGTATTTCAAACCAATGCCATTGATTAGCAGAAACACTTTGTGCTTTTCATACTGCCTCTCCAGTTTTCTGGTTTGTGTTGGCCAAATACACCTACCTGTCATCTGAGTAGAGACATAATGAGGACCAGCGTCACTGACACAAAACACAGACTGCATGTAAAATGGTTCTTTTGTTCATAATAGCCTCCTCCTTGCCCCAGTGCCTGCCAAATATTGCTCACCTGTGACATGGATATACTGGGGCTTGTTCTCAGCTGGGAAGTTGAACGCAGAGGCCGAGTATTTATCTTGCACAAATCCAAATCTGGAGAAACAAACACCAGGGAAATTTAAACAAGGGCGGGGAAAAAAAAAAAAAAAAAAAAGATATAAAAAGTCACTCCAGATAGGATTCCTTCAACCCAAGGCAGGGGGATCAGGGAAAACCTTCCACTATCACAAAGGTTTCCTTTTCTTATGTCCTGAAAGCAAGGGGAAAAGGGATGAAGAGAGCTGAGCTTCTCCAAATGTTCTCCACCCCTGCTAGGCACAGTGTGAAAGCTTGTAACTCCACACTGATCTGTGTCCTAATCTGTGCTGCAAACAAGAGCACCAGTAGCTCCCTTTGGGAGGGCACTGAGTAGCCTCTGACAAAGTGGAGCAGCTGCACATGAATGAGGGAAGAGTGATAGTCAAGACAGACATTCCTTGGGTACGTTTCAAGCTGCAAGATAATTCTTTTCATGCTGGGCAATATTCCACACTGAACTTCAAGCAGTTCACCTGACAGTTCTTTTTTGTTTGTAAAATACTTGTTCCTGTTTTTTAAGTTAATGAAAGCTTATTTCCAAGCTAAAGTCTATTACAAAAGGCAGTATCTCTGTCACAAAAGAGACCTTGGCAGCAATGCCATGAAACAAACTGGCAGCTCAAGCACACAAAGGGGTAAGGCTAGATAATATTCAAAGTTTCCAACAATTCCTTCTTAAACTGGGCACAGCCTCCTATGTACATCTCACATGCCAGCCTCCTGCCTATTGTCAATCATTGTCTGTCATCCAGTTCAAGACTGTGTCAAGTACACGTGAAGGAAATAACTGTTCTTTCTCAGAAAGTAATCTATTTACAGTCTATATGCTTTTAAGTTAGAATAACAGGGCACTTTCCAAAGGCAATGCCCTCCTTAGGAGGAAAGTATGGTTTGGTAGTGAGTGACAGGCAGAAACACTATCTACCTGCCCCTTGCACCCACAGAACCACCTCCAGGCATTCTAGTTATATTTTAGTCTAATAATCTGCAAGCAGACTTCAAGAGAGGCAGACGGCACAGAACCCACGCAATTCAGGAGTGACTGTTCAGTATAGGTCTTCATCCTACATTATCCAGGGAGATATGAACCTTTCAGTCATTCTGTGCCATACAAACCTATGTGCTATTGCTTCCTGGAGCAGATGCATACGGTCCCAGTATGTTTCTGGTTCAAAGCCTGAAACAAACAGAAAAGTAACAATTACCTAGGTAAAGTCTCTTTATTTCCTTCTTTTCAAGACTTCAGTTTTCCTCAGAAGACCTCTGTGCACTTTGTTTTTTTTCTAGTCATTTCTTTTAGTCACATTTTTTACTGTCTGCTGTCCCTTGAATGCCATCTTATTAGAGACATGTCTTGTACACTCCAGTGGCAGATTCATCGCTGAATCTAGTTTTTGTGTCTCTTGAGATGAAGGAGAGGAACATAATGGGATGTGTGGGGACAGGGAAGGAGAGTGCGCTGCTGCGTATCACCACAGAGTGCTCTGAAAATACTAAGTTCAAAGTCAGTGGGGCTATGGTGACCTCACAACATACGGATTTGTCACTGATTGTTTTACATTTACACCTGGACACTGGGTCCAGAGTCAATGAAAATAAAGAAAACTATCACATTTGCTATTTTAAAACAGAGCCTTCTGCTAACCGTCCCGTCTCAC